AGACCCCGGATCCCAGACGGCGGGCGCCGAGACCACCGTTACTCCAGTGCATATCCAATCCATTCACACGACCACCAGCACACCGAAGACACGGAGGTCTTCCGCCACGTCGTGTGCAACTCCCTCCTCGTCCCACACGATGGACGATGAATTATTCGAAGGGCAGGCCCAATTTGGGGCCGCTGGCGACATGCCGCCTCCACAACCACCAGATTTCTCATCAATGCCCTACTCCTCCAACCTCTTTTCACAATACATTTCGCCGTTTGATACACCTAGCTTACTCTGGTCGCAATCATTCCCCCCAGCAATGGACAACCGCCCGAGAGGCTTCATGCGAGCAGATGAGATATTCTCAGAGAACGGTGGGCCAATTCCACTCCCGCCGAGGTTCGCCCAGATCAAGCGGAGCCTCATCGCGGGCAAGGAGACGGCGATAGTGGATTCTTGGAATCGGCTGCTGGTTGCCCTCCGGGCCGAGATTGCGTTGATAGGAGTAACAAAATCTGACATCATCCCCACCATCGACTTTTCGGAGCTCAAGGACCATGCCCGCGTCTCCGAATTTGCCGCAAAGCTCCGACGCCGAGGTGGCGCCGTGATTCGCAACGTGATTCCGCCGGACCAAGCTCAAGACTGGCGGGAGGAGACAGAAACGTACCTCGCCGATAATCCGGAGACCAGAGGGTGGCCAACGCGTGACCCCCATCTGTTTGGAATCTACTGGTCGCCTGCTCAGATCAAGGGTCGAGCTCATCCAAATGTCCTTGCAGCTCAGCGGTTTTTGATGGGCCTTTGGCGCTCGAGGAACCCCAACGCCTCGGTGGCAGTGGACTTGCCCGTGGCCTACGCCGATCGTTTGCGAATTCGTGCACCAGGCGACGAGTTCTGGCATTTGAACGCCCACGTTGACGGCGGCAGTGTTGAACGATGGGAGAGTGACGGGTATGGAAACGCCGGCACATATCAACGCATATGGGATGGAAAGTGGGAGGACTACGACCCCTGGGAATGCAGCACGCGGCTCAAGGTCACATCGGATCTTTACAATGGCGCGGGTTCATGCAGCATGTTCCGCATGTTCCAGGGTTGGCTTTCCATGTCAGACATCAATCCCGCTGACGGCACCCTACTGCTATGCCCGATGCTTCAGCTCGCAACTGCCTACTTCCTTCTACGGCCTTTCTTTTCTCCACTGAACCCGTCCCCTGAGGCTGCGAACTTTCTCGCCCGCGAGAATTGGTCTCTCGACTTTATGCAGACAAGTATCATCCAGGGTGCCGTCCCGTCGTATACGCAAGAGCTGAACGCCTCCCTCCATCCTCACCTGCAGTTCGACAAGTCCCTCGTTCGAATCCCCTCGGTTCGGCCTGGAGACTACGTCGTATGGCACCCGGATATGGTTTATGGCGTCGATAGGGTGCCGCCATCGGCCCTGCCCGCAACAATCATGTACATTCCTGCCTGCCCACTTACACAAACGAACGCTCTGTACCTCGCTCGCCAGAGAAAGGCGTTTCTCCTCGGCCAACCTAGTCCGGATTTTGGTGGCGGACGCGGAGAGACTTCTCACCTGGGTCGACCTGGTGTTCAGGAGGTCAGCGATGCGGGCGGCGAAGATGGGCTTAGGGCTATGGGCTTGCTGCCTTGGGAAGATCGAGAGGGGAGGAGCCCAACAGTGAAAGCTCTGGTCGGAATGGCGAACGCTATCTTGTTCCCGGATCAGTATGACATGGTTTGATAGGAATCATGATGGCCCTTTTGAGGTTTACCGGCGTTGGAGAGGAGAAAGGAAAACAAGCTGATACCTCTGTGTTCTTCGGTATTCATCGCGGCTTTCTGGGTAATGGTTGGACAAGTTTAAAAAGCAAACGGCGAGGGGCAAGATTGAAAAGGCTGTTTAAGCCACTAATTGAGTAATAGATGCCTCTGCTGGCTCCTGACGCTTGTGGCCTCCAATGAACCTGTTGAGAAACGAGGCTCTGTTACCAGAGTGCTTACCCTCCTCTTCGGTGAGATCCTGCCCAATGATCCTAAACGATGCTGTTACACGGGGCAGTGCAGCAACCCCACCTGCGCATCTGGCAGCTGCGTGTCTGGATTATCCCCAAATGCTCTGTAGAAAACATGCGGGTGACCACTGCCCTGCCACTCAGTTGGCCCCCAACTTTCTTGGACGTAGCCGCCGAGGATTCATAGACATGCAGCCTTGCCTTATACGTCCGAAGAAGGCTCCACGCACAAGCTTATATTTGAAGCCAGCCTCTTCAGAAGAGTAGCGCAATACCTTCTTGCAGCCTTACCCTGCACAAATTCCGACCATGTCATCTTCTTCGGCTCGATTCTACTTGACGCTTGCATTCCAAATCGTCTGGAGGCTCGTCGTGAGGGTATTTGACGGCTTCCGGGGGCGCTTCCGACCAATTCTACGAGCCGTTGGTCTCGGCATCGTCGCATTTATCGGCAAAGACAAGCCGGAGCCCCCAAAGGTTCTCATAAGCCAGTCTAGGGCTGTTGCTGTATCGCTGTATCTCGATGTGCTATACATATACTACCGACGGCCGTCTCCCTTTTCCTGATTTCCTTCAACCTACAAGGATACTTCATCGGTTCAGAGCTGCAGGGAAATAAGGATCAGGATGATGTCAAATCTGGCGTTTTACAGCTTGCTGCCAAGATTCAGGTACCTGCCTTCGTCTCAAGAGACTCAATCCATAGTTCTGACCTCACGGATCCTCAGGAACTTCTCATCGTATCAAGTCTTGGGACTATCATCTTCCATGTTCTACGTGAGGAGTTGGTTTTCGGCGATGGTTTGCCACTTGGGCTTGTTATTTCGGGTTGGCGATTCACACAGCTAAGGTAGGCAGGATGACGTCCAAGGCTAATGGCCTGATGCCTCTCTGACCCTTATTGTCTAGTTATTTCTGGTCAGCCGATTTCTGGGGAGCGATATTTTGCCCTAGCTCTGAACCTCGAAGCTACGTCAAGCGTCTTGCTCTCCTGGCACTCATTGGGATTTCCGGCCTGATTGCTGTCATGGCGGGCCCAGCTGCTGCGGTCCTTATGCTACCTGCTCAACGGGACTTCGACATAGGCGGTGGTATTTACTGGGCGAATGGCGGTGACGCAGAACTCTGGCCGAAAGTTCTTGACGCAGAGTACTACTCGAGTTGGAACTGCTCGTCCTTGCAAAACCAGCTCGAACAGCACCAATGCCCGGCTGCTGGATTCTCGACTCTTCACAGCCATTATCTCGCCAACGCCGCGCGCCCAAGGACACATGTCGACTATCAAATCACAACCGGGCTTGTCAGCAAAAGCATATACGTCCAACCATCCGCAGCTTACATGTCTGACACGTGGGCGTTTACGGCTCACGGCCCATCAGCCCGTGTCCACGATCTGATGCGGTTTCTGCACCTGAGGTCTCTTGACTACCTAGATCGCCGCCAGGCGCGAACTCCCCTCAGTCTCACAAATCTTAAATTCTCTTCGAAGCAGAGATACACTCTCGAGACCCAGATACCCGCAGCTAGAACTGTGTGTGTATCGAATGGTGTGGTCGATTATGGAGTCCCTGGCAACCTTACGTTACCGTTCTTGGATCTATCAGTCTCCGATCGCGCCAGGAGGCCTGACAATGATAGCGGTCTATGGAAACATCCAGGCATGGACGATGGTTACCATTATCTTGACGTGTTCCAAGACGTGCGGGAACATCTATCCAAGAGGGGCATGATGGAAGCCAACGCTACCTTGGTAAACGAAACCAGCATCTTTCATCTACGCAAACGTATCGTTGCTGTTCCTATCGATATATGGAACGATGAAGCAGCGAGCTCCCTCGGACTGGTCATATTTGTAAAAGCAGAGGGCGTGAACTTTCTAGGTGGAACAGCCAACCTCCTTACCTGCTCCATCGACGCACGCTGGGTAAAGGCCAAAACGTTTATCGAGATGTCGCCGTCGAGTGGCGTAATTGAGCACGACTTCAATAACGGGAGAGTCTATAGCAACATCGAAGTTGAGCTAGACACAAGACTGAATAGGCCTTTGTGGCGTGTACCACTAAAGGGCCCTTCGGCCAACTCAACCCGGGAAGGTATAATCCGCCTGAAGCCTAGCTGGTACGAGTCGCTCCGTCCACCAGTTTACGATACTCCCAACGGACTTGCTGGAAACATTTCAGAAGGTCGATATAGGACCACCCTAGAGAGAATTCTGGACTTAAGCTTTCACAACGATGTGATGGATCCGGTCTCCATTCAGGAGAGGATCGTCACAACCATCGTGGAAGCCCTATCGAGATGCGGCAGTATTTCTAACAGCGATTCAAGCAGGTTTCTGGAAGCTTTGCAAAGGTGGCATGTCGGAGATACTCTCAGTCCTCCGGATGAAACCGCTGCGAGAGCTCTAGTGAAGAGAGGTAAGCCTGCAGAGAATTTTCTTCTTCCCAAATCTGTGGCAGGTTCGAACGAGTTCGGCTCAGCACGAATGATTGTAGAGGCTCACTACGGAGGGTATGCCATGATGACGTCTGGCTAGTTTGGGTACTTTTGTATTTTCATTCTCATGGCCCATGCGGTTATGGCGATAACCCATCTACTCGTCTGTATTTACTCGCGACGGATGGGACACGCCTGGAGCAGCATTCTCGAATTCATCGCCTTGTCGTACAAGTCGAACCCTCCGCCTGAGCACATTCTCAGCAATACTTGCGCTGGTGTCACATCCTTCAAGACAGTCGGGTCAATGGCATGGGTGGAAGAGACACACAAGAGACCGTAGGGCTGATGAAAGTTAGCGGCGAGGGTCTTTCTCTCAAAATCACAGACCGTCATGAGAGGAGGCCTTATGGACTTAGGCCGAAGAAAGGCAAGAGGTATAATGAGTGACAGGTCAACACCTGCCTTCACTTGGAGAAGGGGCTTCGGACGATGGCAAAAGATCGCCAACAAAACGCTTGACGCAATGGATCTAAAAGGCAAAAGTAAACGTTCCGAAACCGAGAATCGAACTCGGGGCTATGCCTAACCTCTCAGAATCATGAGAGGGCATCATGTTGGCCACTACACCATATCGGAGTGCTGTGGGAAAAACTGGCGGCAAAAACTGCTAAGGACCTGGTGCTATTGGCCCCACTCCGCGCTAGCGGGGAGTTTGTGTAACCTTTCCAGGGAAACCCCAAGCGTCGACGACCTCCGCCGGTCGTACGTGGACCGGATTTTCGGTGCAAACGAGTCATGGACCAGTTCACATCCCATGTCAGACCGTCTTTCCACAAATCCCGTTGCCTGCCGGGACGTTATCCGTGCCATTCTCGCAAACGCATCCGAGCCGTCGGTTCTCACACCAACATCCGGATATTTCGAGAGGTGGGATTTGCCCACCACCCTCCGGCAAATGGACACCCGCCGCCCCCGAGGCTCTTGGGGGGGAGACCAGAAGCAGAAACCGGTGCCGGTGGGTTGTATATTGGTGGAGACGAGTGACGTAGATCGATCTTTCTGCAGTTCATCGGAGAAAGGTGGTGATGTTCTCCCAGGATTCAGCTCAAGCGAGGGCGAATGTAGATGGTACTTCCGGCTTTGGAAGGGTTTTGTATACGATACATTCGTCTCTCAACTTGGTAAAGGGGATGTTCGTTTCTTGGCTAGACCTCGCTTCGTTCCTTGTCTGAACTGTTGTTAATCTCGTCTCCCCATCGATAGTCAGCGGGACGCTCCGAGTTTGGACGATAACGCTGGAGACTTTGCAACGTGCATACATCAGCTGCTTCATGCTCTCATGTGTGTGTCGTGGCTTGAGTCGTGAAAGTTGCACGGCACCGTTAGCCGCCCCATCGTGCGTTCGTCAGAGTCGTCAGAGTTGGCAAGATTATGACGCAAGTCAGATATCATATCGGAGCCCGCGTGGGCTGCACGGAGGTTGATCAATGTTGTATGGGGAATGCCTTCCGGTGCGGTTTATTGTTCCTGTGCCCCATCCAATACACGTTGTGTCTAGAACCCGCCCCGGGCCTTGGCAGGAAGCTGGGACTGAATCATGTTCCGTGCTTCGGCGGCATCTTCAGTCCTCCGACTGCGGACTGCTTTCCCAACTCCAACCTCCGGGGCTCCGCTCCAAGACTTCTCTCCAAGACCTCCTAAAAAGCTCCGGACGTGGGACCAGGTTGCGTGTGTCTCCAGGACCCTGGTTGGAGCACGTACGATGTGCTATTTCCAGGGGTCCCGAATCCGAGGGGACCTGCTTTGGGGACATGATCCGGATCTAACCTCGAATCTTCACCGTCTGGGTAGCGTTTGTAGTCGACATCTCGCATATAACGGTGGACGATGTCGTGATAGAGCGAGCACCTGCAGCACCGCCCTGCAACCAACCCTCACTGAGTCGAGACTCTCCAACTTCCTTGGCCAGCACCCAGACTAGCGTGATGAGCTTTTACGTCATCCAATGTCGGTAGGGCAGAATGAGTTGCCAGCTTATCATAGTTTCTATTCTGCAAATGTGATGAAACTCCGACGGGCGGCACGGGTTGCCCTCTTGTTCCGATGGGGAAAGGCTTCGAAGGTTAAGTTGGTGTAACGTCAAACCTGAGATGACGTTCATGAGCTGTCTGGTGGAGGAGTTACTTTCGGAGATGAGGCGAGGTTACACAAACCAGATAGCCGATGGGCGTCTGTTGAAAGGGCGTTGGAAGTGTATCTCTAGTTGAACTACCCCGGATTGATGATGTGGGGTTCGACCAATGCCGGTATCGTTAGAGTGGGGGGCAGAAGTTCTACCTTCGAGGGAGGTTGGCGCTTTCATGATGATTCATCTGATTATTGGGGCGAATCTCATTTAATGGGTTGACAAACGATCAAATTTATTTGTTCCGTAGTTTGAATAAGTTTAGCGGCTACTGCAAATACAGCGTGAGATGGCTGATGAATTGTCTTAGGCCAGACTGTGTGTACTTAGATGATTATAAGCCCTATTGGAAGTAAAGAAATAGCCTGCCAAAGGCTTTTGTCACTTGAGTGTGCGTCCCGGCCGAGTCGCAATTAGTGCCAAATGATAATCGTATGGTCCGTAAGTAAGCTCAGAGTCAGAGAACTTATAATCTCATTTTGAGAGTTGAGAGAGCGGTAGGTCACACCGGCGACAAATTAATAGAGGTAACACAGCTATCTATCCTAGTCTGTAGAGAACGCGCTCATTCATCAATACCAAATGCCATTGCAACAGTGTTATTATCTTCATTACCACTCATCATCGTCATCATCGGAGCCAAGCTCTAGTCCGATTGAAGGTATGCTCGTGTGCACGAAAGAAAGCCCTTCGCCAGCCCAGCGTGACTCTTGACCGAGATGGATCATATCGGTTGGAAGCGTCTTGTCTTGCTTGATGCCGCTGACGAGCAGTCTCTGGAGACGAGTGTACCGGTGGCACGGTTCGTACAGGTCGTTGATGCTGTTGTTCGGTCTGTTGACTTTGAATAACCGATCTTTCGTTTCAACTCTTTGGATCCACTTCTGGGGGTCCTCACAACTTTCAAGCTCTTCTCGGACAACGCCCACAAGGATGGACTCAATTTCCTCATGGACATGATCATTGTCCCCGTTGTCTCCATACGCTTTGCTTTCGCCGTCTTCTGGCCAGATAATCCAATCGGCGAAACCCATCAACAGTTCAAAAACCAAGGCTGGCGCATTTGTCTCGGAGCCGGTGCGCCAAAGCTCGCGAGCCGGCTCTAAGAAAGGAGCGATTGCGTCTCCCAAGTCGCCAATCTCAAATATGTAGTTCTTGGGATCCTGCGCATGCTCTTCGACCTCGGCTATCGCAGCGCCAGCCTTTTTGCGCAGGTCATCCACTTGCTTCTTGGTCCGCTCGAGCTCAGCTTCCAATGACTTGCCAGCATAGGTCTGGAGATGGGCCTCAATGAATGGCCCACAGAGAGGATCAGAGAGCATTTCCCGAAAACATGACTTGAGGTCGGATAGCGCGATGCGTGACAGAATGCCCTCAGTGGAAAGAGTGTGGTTGATTGCCTCCGGCTGATGACGTTTTGGGGATGCCTCGGTTAGGTCGACAGTGTCGAGGGGTCTCTTGGCAACGCCCATTGTGAATGGAGATGTAATAAAGAAATGTAGATTTTTTGGTGATAAATTGTAGCCGACAATTCCGTGCAAAGGTGTCTCGAAGGCAACTTCAACAATTATTTGGAGAATACCACGACTCAGACGCGCCGAGACGCGACGTGGTACTTCACTCAAGACGTGGGGTAATGTTGGACCCTCTGCAATCAATTTGAAGGTTGCTTTTCTTGTTTAAGGCCAGTCCCCATGCCAACTAGCCAACTGCATGCAAAGACAAGGTGACAGCGTACCGAACTGCTGTGGCTATATGACATTGAGCACCAAACACGAGCATCCCCCGAACAACTTCCATCTGAAGTTTGAATACCCAAGACTTGATGCGCCAAAGTGCACATTGTCGACAGCGCACGCGACCAATCAGAGCGACCCCAGCAGGCCGGTGACAGCGGCGCGGAACAGAAGGGTCGGGGAACACGACAGGCCAATGCAGGGGCCGTGGTGGTCCGAGCTTGGGTTTGGCGAGGGGGTTACCTGACCTGGAGATTTGATACGTGGATAGAATTAGGGACCAAGACAGCTAAAATGCCCCCCCCTTGAAGGCTGCCCAAGTGAGTGGTGACCTGGACCTGAGCTGACATGGGACCGCACTAACAAGGGCCCGTCACCGAGGCCAGCCCACCTGAGCCCAGCCAGCCCGGTGCCTTCCATGCCTTCTTTGCCTTCCTTGCCCGGGCTGGCCTTACCCGACCCTGCCAACCTGTCTTACCTTACCATGACCTAGCACCTGGCAACTTCGTCGGGCTGCGCTGCCACTAAGCACCACCTCATTCAGCACCAACGATCACACTCAGCACCCAGTGGTCCACCCCCGTCAGACACCTCCTTGCAAATCTCCAGCTGTGGAAGTGGGCAATGAATGGACCCGCGACCTAATCAACCTCCCTTAGACGAACCAGACCTGAAGCTGAAGGCGGGAACACTGGGAAGCGAGCAGCAGCAGCAGCAGCCAAAGGTGGGCTCTTTGCGGCTGGGCTCCAGTCCTCCAGCATTCTGCAGCCAAAAACCACAGCCAGAAGCACTCGACCCCCGAGTCATCTCAACTGCAACAACGACAGGTAAACAATTCCTTCACGACTCACGTGCGTCCACCGCTCGACTCTGCATCACCGATCCCGACCAATTGTCCCTGACGACGAGCCGAGCCTACTCCCTCGCTCTCCATCTGCTGCTACCACCTCTCCTTCTCTGAGCCCGCAATCGCTCGCCATCGACAATCCACATCCTCGTGAGAGGGGGGCAATGACCATTCCCCCGCCGAACCATGGCTGATTCGGCCAGGTCATCGGACAAGATTCCCCGGTCCCCCTCCAAGGCGAAGGTCGTCCGCTCGCAAAAGATCTCCGGCCCGGCACAGACTCCTCCGCCGGGCGTCATCGGTGGCCTGCCTGACGACCTCGAGGAGCTGAGCGACCGTGACGTCGAGCACCACCGCCGCCTTCCCTCCGTTCCGGGTGGCACCCTCCCCCGTTCCCACACCCCAGGCCATCTCTCCTCCAAGAGCCAAGATCGCCGTCGCAAGCCCTCCGAGCTTTCCATCCGCCAACGCTCCCAATCCGCCTCGCAAGCACCCTCTCAAGTCCCCCCGACACGCACAACTCCCACGAGCGCGAACCCCCCTAAACCCCCGCCGACCTCATATCGACCAACTGGCGCCGATGCTCCCAACTCTAGCAACACCAACGACGGCTCCGAGTCTGCCGGCGGCCCCGGCTCAGACCGTGACGGCCGCCGTCCTGTCGCCATGCGCTCTACGTCCGCCATAGCCGGAAAGGCTTCAATACCCTCCTCCTCAACAACGACACGTCAGCTATCAACCGCCGCTGCCGCCGCACGAGTTGCCGCGAGGGGGGCACATGTCCCCTTTCCACCTCTCCAGGACCCCAATACGGCGCCAGACGTGCCTCCAGCTCCATCGTCGGGCATGTACTGGTCTCGCGCACCCG